AAAGCGGTCCGAGACCGTCAGTTTTTAACACTTTTGACTTTGTGCTTCGCGCCACAACAGCGTGCACTTTTTCGACATCTCAACATCCAAAAGTGGACCGAGACCGTCAGGGGTGCATTTTTTCAAAAATGCAACTTCTAAAAGCAGTCCGACACTGGGTTGTTTTAGCATTTTGGCTTCGAAATGTGCTTCGTGCCGCAACAGCGTGCACTTTTTCAGCATCTCAACTTCAACTTCCAAAGGTCTCCGGACCTGGTGTGCTTTGCGCCTTTTGACTTGGAAACGTGCTTAGCACCACAGCCGCGGGCACTTTTTCAACAGCTCAACTTCCAAAAGTGCTCCGAGGCTGAAATGTTTTTAGCATGTTGATTTCCAAATCTGCTTCGCGCCACAGCGGCGTGCAATTCTTGATCTCTCATCTGGCCAGTTGGCTCCGCACCCGCCGCTTTAGCGAGCTTACCTTTCGACCCTCCGGAGGCACAAAACATTGGAAAAAACACAGTGTTTCGCGACTTTTCTACCTTTTCGCGCGCCTGCATCTTCTTTCTCCTGGCTCTTTCTCTTCTCTGAGCTTGTTTCTTCTGCCTTTCTCTTCTCTGACTCTTCCCACCTCTCCTTTTCCATCTGTCCATATTGTCGAAAGTTTGACTTCTAAACTTCCTTCGGCAAGGAGGGAAAAAAAAACACTGGCATACATTGGCATATAGCTTGACAAGGGGCCTCAGCCAGCTTGGACAAGGACAACCCGGCAACTTGAAGAGCCATATTCCATCTGCCAGTGCCTCACAGTCTTAAAGTCCGAACACAACACCAGATCCTGAGGTAAACACTCCACTACATTCCAGGTTCAAGCAGGTTGAAATCGTTGCGCAAATTGAAAGCTACAACGACCTCGTGGTGCCCAGATTCTGTTGCAGATCGTTGTTGAATTCTGTGGTGCGCTTGCTTTGAACATCAAGGGCAAAGCATGAAACTTGCAACTAGACGACGGGTGGCCCGAGAGCGTAGAGGAGCAGTGTCTTCTGGTGTTAGTACTGAGACACTATATTACAAAACGATATATTAAAGATGTATTAAAGGCAAACGAGCAGAGTAGTATCAAGACAATAAATTACAAGTACAAGACAATAGTTTACATCGTATCCTTCGTACAGTAAAGTTTTTCACACACAGAAACTTTTACACACAGAAGCTTTTACACACAGAGACTTTTACACACAGACGCTTTTACACACAGACGCTTTTACACTAAGAAGCTTTTACTTTTACACACACACACACGCTCACACAGACGCTTTTACACACAGACGCTTTTACACACAGACGCTTTTACACACAGACACTTTCACACACAGACGCTTTTACACGCAGAAGCTTTTACACACTAAAGCTTTTACACACTAAAGCTTTTACACACAGACGCTTTTACACACGCGGAAACTTTTACACACAGACGCTTTTACACACAGACGCTTCTACACACAGACACGTTTACGCTTTTACACACAGAGACTTTTACCTACAGAAGATTCTACACACAGAAGCTTTTACACACAAACGCTTTTACACGCAAACCCTTTTACACACAGACGCTTTTACACGCAGACGCTTCTACACACAGACGCGTTTACACACAGACCCGTTTACGCTTTTACACACAGAGACTTTTACCTACAGAAGATTCTACACACAGACGCTTTTACACGCAGAAGCTTTTACACACAGAAGCTTTTACACACTGAAGCTTTTACACACAGACGCTTTTACACTAAGAAGCTTTTACTTTTACACACACACACACACGCTCACACAGACGCTTTTACACACAGACGCTTTTACATACAGACGCGTTTACATACAGACGCGTTTACACACAAACGCTTTTACACACAGAAACATTTACTTACAGAAGATTCTACACACAGACGCTTTTACACTAAGAAGCTTTTACTTTACACACACACACACGCTCACACAGACGCTTTTACACACAGAAGCGTTTACACACCGACGCTTTTACACAAAGAAGCTTTTACGCGCAGACGCTTTTACACACAGACGCTTTTACACACAGACGCGTTTACACACAGACGCTTTTACACAAAGAAGTTTTTACACACAGACGCTTTTACACACAGAGACTTTTACACACACAAGTTATTACACACTAAAGCTTTTACACACAGACGCTTTTACACACACAGAACTTTTACACACAGACGCTTTTACACGCAGACGCTTTTAGACACAGACACTTTTTACACGCAGACGCTTTTGCACACAGAAGCGTATACACACAGAAGCTTGTACACACAGAAGCTTTTACACACAGACGCTTTTACACAGAAGCTTTTACACACAAACGCTTTTACACACAGACGTTTTTACACACAGACGCTTTTACACACAAACGCTTTTACACACAGAGACTTTTACCTACAGAAGGTTCTACACACAGAAGCTTTTACACACAGACGCTTTTACACGCAGACGCGTTTAGATACAGACGCTTTTTTACACACAGACGCTTTTACACACAGACGCTTTTACACACAGACGCGTTTACACACAGACGCTTTTACACACAAAAGCTTTTACACACAAAAGCTTTTACACACCGACGCTTTTACACACAAGAGCTTTTACACACAGAAGCTTTTACACACAGACCCTTTTACACACAGACGCTTTCACACACAGACGCTTTCACACACAGACACTTTTACACACACACACTAGACAAGATTGGATCTTTGAAGAGATCCATCAGGAACTGAGTCCTGTAACGTGCAACCAGCCTAGACAATTAGACCTAAAGTAGATCTCGTGGTTGTACTTTGCGAATACGATGAAGGTCTTCCGAAAATATCCAACGTAGCCCAGACCAAAACCAAAAACGGCAAATGAATCGTCATCCAAAACCAGACTGCGGCGACCATGTAAAACCATGGAAAATAAGTTGTTTGGAAACGGCATGGTGGTTCTTGGGTTAGCCATGTCCCAGTGCAGAAACTTGACATGAAAACTTGAAGCAGGTACGTCACGGTGATCAGCCGTGATATCCTAAGGACACCATAGAGAGCTTCGTTGGGCACAGCTCTATGGGCCTTCTGTGCCCCCCTGCTTTATTAAAAGGAGAGAAGAAAGAAAAAGAAAAAAGGGGAAGTTTTACATCTATTTAGATGTTACACACACACACACCCGGCCGGACCCGGTTCAACCCTGAAAGGCAAGAGGAAGGAAAAAGCAGACACAGACGACGGGCAAAAGGCCAGAACAGCGCAGGGGGGGGAAGGGAACGAACGGACCTCCAGAACCAACCTACGACCTACGCGGCGAAACGGACCTGACAAAAACAGAGCCCACACCTAAACCCCACGACGCATTACGGAGAAACACAGGGGAAGAATTAGGGACCGAATGGGGACTAGTTGGTGACGGGCGTAAAACAACCAAAACAATTAATCTAAAAGGACCCAGTTCCAACTACAACAAAAGTCGTGCGTTACTCCCCTTCGGGACCGTAGTCAAGTCGTGCCGCAGTGGCATAAACAGCTGTTCAAGTTCCAACGAATTTGATGCACAATATGTTCAACCTCACCAGAAAACCATCAAAAGAAAAAGGCTACACCTGGAAAGCATGTACCTGCCTGCAACGTCTTTCGTGGTCATGTGTCGCTTCAAAAGCTTGAGCTGCAGCGAAAAAACAAGGTTTCTGGTAGTTCGGACTGGCTTCACACTGGCAGAAATGCATTCCGCAAGATTCACTGGGACGGCAGGACCAGCGGGGCATCGCAAGAAGGCTGGTAAACGGTAAGGCCAACTGTTTCGCATTACGTAGATGAATTGCCAGATTAAAATCGTCAGTTCTGTAATCCGGTCAGTCGACATTCACCCTAAAAAGGGTTGCCTCCAGTGGCCCTATGGCACCTTGTCGGAGTCACCATAGGTATTACACTAGACAAGATTGGGTCTTTGAGGAGATCCATCAGGAAGTAGATCTCGTGGTTGTACTTTGCGAATACGATGAAGGTCTTCCGAAAATATCCAACGTAGCCCAGACCAAACTCCAAAAACGGCAAATAAATCGTCATCCAAAACCAGATTGCGGCGACCATGTAAAAGCATGGAAAATAAGTTGTTTGGAAACGGCATGGTGGTTCTTGGGTTAGCCACGTCGCATTGCAGAATCTTGGCATGAAAAATTGAAGCAGGTACGTCACGGTGATCAGCCGTGATATCCTAAGGACACCATAGAGAGCTTCGTTGGGCACAGCTCTATGGGCCTTCTGTGCCCCCCGGCTTTATTAAAAGGAGAGAAGAAAGAAAAAGAAAAAACGAGAAGTTTTACATCTATTTATATGTTACACACACACATTTCACACAGAAGCTTTTACACACAGAAGCGAAAGGGTTGCGATCGAACATCGTTTCGTGCGAAAGGGTTGCGTTTCGCGCCTTAAGAGAGAAATAGAAAAGAAGGAGAGAGCAAGAGGGCAAGAGAGCAAGAGGGCAAGAGAGAATGCAAAGATGTGAAGATGTGAAGATGGAAAGATGAGAAGATGAGAAGATGAGCAGATGTGAAGATGAGAGGATGTGAAGATGCGAAGATGTGAAGATGAGCAGATGCGAAGATGAGAAGATGTGAAGATGTGAGGATGTGAAGATGAACAGATGTGAAGATGAGAAGATGTGAAGATGAGAAGATGTGATGTGAAGATGAGAAGATGTGAAGATGTGAGGATGTCAGGATGTGAAGATGACAAGATGTGAAGATGTGAGGATGTGAAGATGAGAAGATGTGAAGATGAGAAGATGTAAAGATGAGAAGATGTGAAGAGGAGAAGATGTGAAGATGAGAAGATGTGAAGATGAGAAGATGTGAAGATGTGAAAATGTTTGACAAACGCCCACTATTAGAAGAACCCTTCGCCCAGGCGCTCTCGGGAAAAAATGCCTAAAAAACAACCCAGCACCGTTGTGTACCATTGAAACCAGTGTCAAGTCCAAGTTGCAGAAACTCTAAGGCCATGTGGGCGTGCAAGTTGCAGTGCCAAGGGAGAATATTTTGACTCCCTTGGTTCGTCCTCGTCGTCCTCAAGAGAGCCTGGGACTTCTAGCCTCATCAGGCAGAAAATCAAACATTCAACAGCCACAACAGCTTTGCATCCGGTTGGCACCCTCCCAACCCCAAGATTTTATGCGGTTTAATTTGTTTAATAGCAACTTAAGATCATTCCTGGCAAGATTTGAACAGATTCGATAGAAAAGAAAACACGTTTGACATTGCCGAAAAGATTGGCTTGTCACAAGTTTCTAGGCAGGCAGGGGGCAAGTAGCTGTCGAAGAAACGAGGGCAAGCACTCAAGAACGCATCAACGATGCTTGTTTCCTCAGCTGCAAAGGAATCGTCTTCTCAAACACACGGTGCCTCTTTTTTAGTTACCCACAGAACCAGGGACAAGAAGAATTGGGCAGAACAGGTCCTCCGCAATCATTGCGTGGTCTTGTATATTTCAAGAATACCTGTCCCAATGTGCCTTTAAAAAGCCTTCGAAAGGGCATTGTTCCATGATTTGTGTCTCACACACCTATCTATCTATCTATGTCTGTCTGTCTGTCTGCCTGTCTGTCTGTCTAGCTGTCGATCGATCGATCGATCGATCTATCTATCTATCTATCCATCTATCTTTCTATCTATCTATCTACCTATCTATCTTTCTTTCTTTCTATCTATCTACCTATCCCGTCTGTCCCATCTACCCATCTACCCATCCTTTCTATCCTACCTATCCCGTCTGTCCCATCTATCCGATCTGTCCTATCTATCCTATCTATCTCTCCTATCTCTCCTGTCTATCCTATCTATACTATCTATCCTATCTATCCTATCTGTCCTATGTATCCTACCTATCTTATCCATCATATCTATCCTATCTATCCGATCTATCCTATCCATCTATCCGAGCTACCCCATCTATCCAATCTATCTCATGTATCTAGTCCATCTAATCTATCTATCCTATCTAATCTGTCTAATCTATCTCACTTATCTAGCCTATCCAACCTATTTAACCTAGCTAACTTATCTAATCGGTCTATCTATCTATCTATCTACCTATCTATCTATCTATCTGTCTAACCAACCCTATCTGATCTTATCTAATCTAACCCAATCTAACCTAATCTAATCTATCTCTCTGTCTGTTTGTCTGTCTGTCTATCTATCTTCCTATCCCATCCTATCTTATCTATGCATATATGTTTTAAACGCATAAACGCAATCTCTCTCTCTCCTACATGACATTTTGGGCTTGCAGCTTTGTTCCCTTGAGCCACTTAGAAAGAAGGGAGAAAAACCACAGACACTTTGGCAAAGCAAATCCTGGAAATTCGGTACGGGCCCGAAACGATAGGATTTTTTGTTTCATAATTAGGACTTGAAGACCTGTCACTAATTAGTACCACTTTTGTTTCACAATTCTGCCTACACCTGAATCTGCGAGTTTATGTGCAGATCATGCGTGTATTTTGTAGACATGTATTGCAAGCCACTAATCTTAGTTTCCGATTAATCAAAGCACTCCATAATATTAAAATGTTCGGCTGACCCATTTTTTGCTGTATTTGTTTTCAAGTGCGCCCCTTTACTTTTAGTATTCGGTCATGTTGTTGGCCGGCCATGGAAAACCACAGAATAATGCAAATTTTTCGGGCCGGCCAATCTTTTTTTTGGTATTGGTTTTCAATTGCGCCCCTTTACTTTTAGCATCTGGCATTCTCTTTTCCCACTAAAACATCAATATACAAGGAAATGTTCCACCAAAAACTTCAATTTACACGGAATTTTCCCACTAAAACCTCCATTTATCAGAAAGTTTCTCACTAAAAAATCAGATTAATAACAGAAGCACTTCCAAATTGGAAAATCCCTTGTAAACGGAAATTTTCTGGGAAAATATCCTATGGTTGGCTCTCCCTCGCCCCATGTTCCCAGTTGAAGGCTCAGATGGGGCTTCTATAGTGGGTTTCAGACCCACAGAAGGGACCGGTTTGGTATGTATGTATGTGTGTATTCCTGTATATGTGTGTGCATGCATGCATGCATGTATGTATGTACGTTTGCCTGTATGTATGTATGTATGTATGTATGTACGTAGGTACGTAAGTAGGTACGTACGTACGTAGGCACGTAGGCACGTAGGTACGTAGGTACGTAGGTATGTAGGTATGTAGGTATGTAGGTATGCAGGTATGTAGGTATGTATGTATTTCAGATTGGTTTCAACATGGTTTCAGACTGGTTTTTAACACTTGTTTGATTTGGGAAGCGAATAGGAAATCTACCCAACACAACGTTTCATCACAGATCTATTATTTAGATGGCAAAATCATCCCCTTGAGATAATAGAAGCGGGGTTTTCCCCTTGGTGCCGCATATTTTCCCTTCGAGGACACGAAAAGCTAGAAAACGTGCATGCAAGGGGAAAATATATGGTACCAAAAGGAAAAAGTTACGAGGTTGAAGCAAGTCAGATAATATCGTATATCAAAAAAAATGGGAAAAAAGGACACTCTGCTGAAGACTCCACTAGTTTCGCCTGGAAATGTTGTAAACCTTTCCGGGGATATCTCAGGACGATGCTTATGGCCATCGACAAGAAGCGCAGGTGTTGCAAATAGCACGCAGATGAAACATGAAAGGATCGGAAATGCTGCAACTTGCAGGGCACAGAGCTCAGAAAACAATACGTCAATGAACAAATGGCCATTGCCGCTTCGATGGATGTCAAAAGGCACTGTTCTGAATCTGTGCCAAATGGAGGTTTAAAAGTGGTCTGAAAGCCTTTAGAAGGCCCATATGAGCCTGAAATTGTAACTTGGGCACCAGGTTCTGCCCTCAAAAGGGACAATGTCCACATGTTCAACGCTTGCTTCACCATAGCAAAACATCCCCTTGAGATAGCAGAAGCAATGTTTTTTCCCCGTGGTACCACATATTTTCCCCTTGAGGACGCGAAAAGCCAGAAAACGTGCATTCAAGGGAAAATATGTGGTACCAAGGGCAAAAAGTTACAAGGCACAAGCAAGTCAGGTAATATCTATATCATCACTGACGGGAGCTATTCAATTCTTACTGAAGCCCCCGTTTACAAAGGATTTTGCAACTAAACCCTCAACTTGACAGTCTGAAACCATTTTGACACAGCTTTGAAACTATACAAAGCAGCGTGTGGAGAGCAATCCCTTACCCTTCCTAGCTTCAGACCTGTTTCAGACCTGCGTATGATTTCATCTCTAGAGCTTTGTTGGAATAAATGCCACAACTCCCTTTATACGAACTCCTCCATCCGGCAACTGTAACAGCTCTCGGCTGAAGCAAGGCAAAAACTCTTCAAATTGCGTTTTGTTTTTGCAATCTTGTGATGGCCTTCGCTATTATTCGCTATTCCTTTCGGCAGCCTGTAGTGGCCTTCGCTAATATTCGCAATTCAGTTGCTGATGTTGGAGCTTCATTCCGTCCTTTACTACATGTAGAGTTCTTCAATCGGTAAAGAGAAGATTGATTTTCAACCAAAGGTTGAAATTATGCCACATGCCGGCCTGATAGACAATTTAATCTTCTTTTTGCACACCTGGAGGTGCCTAACGGGCGCTTGTCATGGAAGATTTGTTTTATTTTTGTTTAATCTTTTGTTCCGAACCTGCAGATTTCTTCCTCGTGCCTTGGCAGCAGAAAAAAACACATATACATATACGCACACATACACATACGCATGTACATATACATATACACATACATATACATATACATAAACATATAAATGTACAAAATGCATACACGTACATACATGTACATATAGGTGCACATGGATGCACATAGATGCATATAGATGCACATAGATGCACATAGATGCACATAGATGCACATAGATGCACATAGATGCACATAGATGCACATAGATGCACATAGATGCACATACATACACATACATACACATACATACACATACATACACATACATACACATACATACACGTACATACAGTTACACAGTTACATACATACATACATACATACATACATACATACATACATACAGTTACACAGTTACATACATACAGTTACATACATACAGTTACATACATACATACATACATGCATGCATGCATACATACATACATACATACATGAATACACACATACATACATACATACATACATGCAGACATGCAGACATGCAGACATGCATGCATGCACATACACATATATACACATACCCATACATACACATACGTACATACACATACATATACATACATATACATACACATACGTACATATACATACATATAGGAACATGTACGAACACATGTATTTACATATACATACACAAACACATACTTTTTAAATAAATATGGATACATATGCATACATTTACAGATACATGCACACACACACACATATATATATACATACACGCATACAGCATCCAATTTTTGCGGTGGCCTACCAGGCCCGCTGTTATTCTGAAAGCTAACTTGTCGCATGGGATCCGAATCGTCGGCTCTCAACAGATGGCCTGCAAGTTTGATTCTTTCGCATCAATACATTGCCGAATGGTCCAAGTCATTGTTGCTCTACGGTATACTTCCGTATTTGTTTTTCTCCGATCAATGTATATAAGCGGCGTTCGTTTTTAATACTTTTCGTAAACCTTTCAACTGGAAGGCTTCAAGCTTTGATAGGCTCGAGGGTTTCCAGACCATACAATAATTTGGATCGGATCATGCTATTGTAGACTATCAGTTTCCAGCGAAATAAGACAGTTGGAATTTTTGAAGAGAACGTGCATCCGTCTCCATGTAGCCATGGTGGCAGCAATTCTGTTTTCGATTTCGGCACATATGTTGACTTGTCAAGTAGTGATGCTTCCCAGAGAAGTAACTTGATCTTCATGGGGTACAGGCGTCCCGTCCCGAAATTTGATTCCATGTCGTCCGGTACTTGTGATGGCAGCACATTTGGATTGGTTGAGCTTGAGACCACAGTACTGGGATTCTGATTTTACTGCGTGCAAGAGTCCATTCATCGTGCGGGTATTTTTAGTGACTAACAAAGTGTCATCAGCATAAAGAACCTCCATAAATGAAAGGTGGCCTAATTTTCCATGGCTGAGGGCTCGGTGATGGTCTCGACGGATGTCAGCAAAGAGCACGCTCATGACGATAATAAAGAGACAAGGGCTGAGCGGACAGCCCTGCCTTATACCACATTGCTGAAAGTACTCTTGCGAAGCGAACTCATCATGCTGAACTTGAAAGGAAGGGTTTCTATACAAAGCTTTGGTAATCCGGAGCATTTTAGGTGGAATGTTCATTCGTTCCAAA